TACCAGCTGGAAGATTGTCCTCTTCAGGTGAGTCTACCACAAAAATTTCTTTTCTCAAGGGTTTTTCAGTCTCTATTTTACAGACAGCCAGTACTTCTCCTCTAGATGGAACTACACACTTTTCAGGTCCCATCCACCGTACTTTCCCCTCAGGCTGGTCGATTAAGGTATTTTTACATGTCTGCTGATTGAGATGGATTTCAGGAAGGTTAGTATGAATTCTTAAAGCTTGTGCAGTGCTGGATGATTTTACATCATGACTGAGAGTAGCAAGGCGCTGGAAGAAACTGGCGTTTGTTCCAATAATGACTGGTAACTGGGAGGGCCCTTGAGGTTCAGGACATACGAGAGCCAAGATGGACAGCGGCTCCTTTACTCCACTGACTGAGAACGGGAAAGTGACATCCACTACTATATATCCCTTATAAGGATAACTGGACGAACTGAGGCCCCATATGGATAATCCAGTCAAGGGGTGAATCGGTACATAATCTAAATTCTTAGAGTACCAACTCTCAAACACTATTGTCACTTGTGATCCACTGTCTAACAGGGCTTGACATAAATGTCCATTAATTGTCACTTCTACTGTTGATGCTGGTCCAACTAGGCCTTTTGGAATACTGCTGGCTTTGTTTATGTCTGTCTGACTCTTTTTAGAGAAACAAACTTGGTTCTGGGTTTTTCTGCTTTCATTAGCCTCGGACTTAAAACTCTTAGCTTGCCGCAAAGAACGAATTAGCTTCTGGATTACTTGGTCTGAATTTTGTGGGGCTTGACATTTTGTCGCAATATGACCGTCTTGTCCACATTTGTAACAGAAATAATCATCTTTTGTTCTGGTTGACTTTCGGCTAAATGATGATGAAGTGGACTGTGATGGTTTTGGCCGTTGTTCTGTAACCTCTAGTGAGCCCTGAGAAGGACTGACACTCATAACTGCCAACTGTTGTTGTAAGTACTGAACTTGTTTCTTTAACTCTTGAACTTCTACATCTTCTGTTTTTTCCATCTGGTTAGGTTTCTCTCTGGATTTAACCACCAAAGAAGAAGTAGAAACAGTTTTGGGCATGACTCCACATAAGTGTGCACGCAGCTCTTGAATCTCTCCTTTGAGTTCTTGAATGACAGATGTGCTTGTGGTTTCATCACAATACTGTATGGATTTGGCTTTAGCTGACATTCTTTGGCGAGAAGCTTCACTCTCTTCTGCCTCACGTATTTCCTTCAGCAGACTCAGGAAAGAAGGTGGGCATGCTGTACGTTCTCGAAGCCTCAACTGTAGCAACATGAGATCAGAATTCACTGCCCCTCGAATGAGTTGTTCTACTCGCACTTTATCGGCCATTCTGAAAGACAGGCCATTTCTTTCCACCACTTTTTTTTAGAGCTTTGTCAATTCTCCTCAGAAACTCTGATAATGCCTCCCCTGCATTTTGACGCATAAGTCGAAACTTAAAATACAGATCTTCACCAGACTCTGAAGATCCAAAGGAACTCTCTAATGCTTCCACATACTCTAAAGCACCTGCTTCTGGATTTGAGAAACGAACAGCTCTCACTATTTCCATTGCTGGTCCTTTAAGGCTTTCCATGATTCTGCGTCGTTTTTCTTTTTCAGTACAGTCACACTCAGTTATCATGAGCCTTGCTTGATCTATCCAGTTATCCATGTTTTCCTCTCCAATTGGAGTTGGAACAATGGCTGAAAATGTCCGAAGTCGTCGGTATGCATTTCCATCACTTGTTGGCTTTATGGTCTTTTCCAGTACTTCACCCATTGCACGTATAATTGATTCAGGAGAACTATCACCAGCACTGTGGGGTGTAATTAAAGCTTTTACGTCACTAAAAGTTTTCCCTTCCTCCATCAGGAACTTTGTCAGCTTTTCAGAGAATCCTTCAGCATCTGTATTAAAGGCACTTTCACTTGGTTGAATCACGATAACTGACCAGGGCTCACTCTTTTCCCCCCTTGTCACTTCAGGAGGAATACGGGTGGAGTCAGTGGCTTGTCGGCACTCACATAGAACCATCATAGACTGGGCAGTAGGTCCTTCTCTTGTGTCCCTCACTCGAACCCTTCCCAGAGCTTTGACAGTTTCCATTACATCTTCAATCTCTGCCACTTCTGTGTAAACAGGTACATTTAACAGGATTAAAGCATGAGTAGAATCAATACTGGCTGCTTCACACCATTTTGTTAACTCTGCTTGAAGACTGGGGTCCTTTCTCAAAGCCATAGCGACAGTTTATGAACTTTTGAATAGAAGACAGTAGGTGCTTGGATACAGATAATTTAACTTGTCTCTTCTTTCTTTATGAACTTATCATTGATGTATCAGAGGGAGATCCCGGACGAGCCCCCACTTTATGTAGCGCCACCTAGGTGTATTAAGTTTAAGATAGCGCTCCAGGTTCAATACACTAAACGCCTACAGATATGTTGAAGTAGGCCCCTCTGATATATTTCAATGACGTAATGAAAATAAGGCAGATGAAAATATAAATATTTGTTGTGTTTGAATAAATTACCAGAAATAAACTCTGTGAATAATAAAACTCTTAGATAAATCAGAAAATATAAATAATTTAATTAGAATAGAAATGTAAATATTGGGAAAAACCCCAGATGTAAAACAAAATACAAAATATAGAATTTATGCACAGCTAAAAAAACAGTAAATTGACCCAAAGTCAAACCCAGCAATTTACAGTACAATGAAGAATATTAATTAAACCAATATAGAAAAATACCACCTTTCTACACTCTAACAATTAAACTTATAAATCAACAAGTGACTAAGAGTAACTGAATATGTTTCTCTTTGAAAGTGGCTACAATTGTGTCACTAAATTACACACTGAATTAAACCTATATAAACTATTAGTATAAATCTATACTGTAAAACACGCAGCAGTATTTTATGCTCACTGCATCTCCATAAACAACTCAATACTCTGTGGGCCCACACACTCACACATTCATACACCCCCCGTTGCAGGCCTGTATCGCTGCTAGTGTACGTTGTGGCCGGGAAAATGAAAATGGCCTCTTCACTCTCCTGAGCACAAATAAAATTAAACAAGATACCTCAGATGAAGATGACCTTGATCAAGATGACAGCAAACCAGATGCCAGCGATCCAGATGACAGCGATCCAGTTGACAGCGATCCAGATGCCAGCGATCCAGATGACAGCGATCCAGTTGACAGCGATCCAGATGACAGCGATCCAGTTGACAGCGATCCAGATGACAGCAATCCAAATGACAGCGATCCAGATGACAGCAATATATGACAGTTCTCCAAACTGACAACACTTGTGAACAACGGGCCAACGAGCCGCGATCGATCGGCGAACTTCTGCCGCGGGTCTTTCAAATCCTCACTTTCACTTTTTCTCCCCAGCTGAGGAGAGACAAGTCTCATGTAGTATTCAGGCTTTTTGTGGTGCTATTTGCTCCTCTTTGACTCTTTCAGCGTTGTTTCATGCAAATCTAACAGTCTCTCTTTTTTCTCCTCCTTATTTTCGGTCTAACCGTCACTCCCTCAGTTCAGCTTTAGTCCTCCGTAACTGTCCGTTGACAATCTAGGCATTTAAAAAATGCTCACTCACTCTGAACTGACTAATAACTGACACTGGAAACTTATATGATGAAGACACACCGCGAACTTAAAACAAACACAAAACAAACTCAAAGTAATCAAAAACGTGTTGTTCACACGCAATATATATTCACTTGTTTTTATACTCCGTGAATGTTACGCAATCAAAACAGCCGCGACGCGAGTCTCCCCTTCAGTTTCCAAAACTGCCGGCTGTGTCCCCTCTCTCCGCTCTCTGTTCCCAACAGCCAATCACATTTCACAACCCCCACCAGAGGGCGGGACTACACGCATATAAACCAATCATGTAGGAACACCTACCAAACTTGTTAACCCCATGTATTTCAGTGAAGGTTGATCAAACTTGCTATCTTATCATATTCTCAGAGATAGACGCTCATATATTACACATCAACATTAGGATGCATATTCACAAATGAATGCAAAACACATTTTAGATTTAATTCTGTTCTAGAACCAATATGAATAAATAAATAAATAAATAAATAAATAGATAGACAATAAATAAATAAATAACCTTAAGATTACTTTAAAACTTAACTTGTAGAACTTCATTCTACTGGGTTACATATATAAATGTTTTTTTTTTTTTTTTTTTTTGGCTGGACAGCTGCTGAACTATTGAGAACTCAACTTTTCCATCTACAGCATTAATTACATTTTAAAATATGTTCTTTAAAACAGATGCCAAAACTAGGGCCCACGGTAACCTTTGATTTGGCTCTCGATCCCATCCGAGAAGAAAAGGAGAATGATGAGGAATTTTCGGGGGAATGCCTTTAACAGAGACTGTCATTTCTAATTTAACACAACTTTTGTTTTTTGACTGTTGACATAAAAAAAACGAACTGAAATTAAATATTTTAACTTTATGAATAAATCTGATTTTTTTTTAAAAATTCAATAAAATACAATCACTTGATGGATAACAGACATTACAGAAGACATCAGCAAGTGAATCAAAGCAAAGTGTAGTTTTTAGTGTTATAAATGGGATTGTTCATGTTTTTTTATTGTAAGATGTTCATTATAAAATAAACAAAAATGTATAATAATTAATACAATTAAAGTATTTTAAATTGAATAAATTATAGTATTGATTAAATTATAAGATGAATAATAATAATAATAAATTAGGAAACTACATTGACAACTTTACAATTTCATATATTAACCTCCAGCACATTCCCCTCAATCAAGTTTAGTTTTTGGCCCTTCATAAAAAAAAGTTTGGACACCCCTGCTTTAAAAGAAACATTTTAAATCATAATTATTTCAGTGATTATATGCAACATTTAAATATAAAAGCTTAAAATAAAATTAAATGAAAATAAAATTAATTAACTGCCTTCAATTCTGTGCAAATTACCTGCAAAGTCGTCGACCTCTTTTCAATTTTCTCCTTCAAGCTGGGACTGCAGGACACTTTTTCCCACAGCTCCCGATGTATAGGATCCGTGGTCAAAGCCTCGCTCAACATAACATCATACTGCTCCACCAGCTTCAGCTTAGACCTCCTAAAATATGTGGCCAGCCCTTCATGCTGCTTCTCCTTAATCCTAAAAACACCATCTAACCCAAACGCATCCAAAGCAGGACATAAAACGTCTACAAACACACATTTATCCACCTCCTGAAGGCAAATAATGTCAGCGTTATACCCTGAAAGCTCCTTCTTGATCAGATTCTGCCTATAGTCCATTTGTAGAGCATAGGGCGCACAATAAGGGTACAACACTGTTTTAGAAAGATCCGTTTGAGCGTAAACGTCCGCTAGGATGTTATAAGACACAACCCTCAATGAACCCTCATCAGTGAGCTTCTGTGTGTAAATGTGCCTGTTATCAAATGTGCAAATCCCCGGACCGGCTTCTACAGCGCTGGAAGACACCAGTTTTTTGGGTTCCCCAATTTTAGAGCCATTCCCCGGCGTGCATTTCAACATCAGCCTTAACCCAATGTCTAAATTCGATGGCGTAAACACACGCTCAGATCCAGCTTCTCTCCAGCATTCTGCATCTCCTGTAATATATGCACTAGCTGAACTTTCTTTAAACCATCTGAACTCGCAGTCCTTCAGATCTCCAAATTCAATCTCTATTTTCGGACACACAGGAAATCCGGCCATTAGTGAAGACGGCAGCTCGGATTGAGTGAATGTTGGAGGATTCCTCTCCACTTTATACTTTAGGTCGCCCACTTGCAGCACTGCTCCATCTTCCCAGGCATCCGAATTGAGAGTTTCTGGTGAAACTGGTTGTCCGTTCACACTTAGACTGGTTTCTGGTTTTTCTGCTTCTTGGCTCTCGGGTTTTTCTTTGCTTGGTTTGTGTTTTTTGGATTTGCTGTGGGATTTAATCAGTGTAGTTAGTAACTTAGAATTATCTATGACCTTAAATATCTTGCAAACAAAAGAAGATATTTTGAAGAATGTTGGCACCTATTGACTTCCATAGAAGTGAAAAAAGAACTATGGAGTTAAATTTGTGCCAGCAATCTTTAAAATGTCTTCTTTTGTGTTCAGCAGAAGAAAATAACTCTATAATAATCCAATAAGGTAATTTTCATTTGTGTGTGAACGATCCCTTTAATAATATTGTGATGGCAAAAAAATTTATTGTTTGCTCAAATTCACGTAAATATTCAAGTGATATCTTGTAAAATGTCTCTTTTTTATTATAATAAGCATTGGAATCGCATAATTGCTGGTTTTGCTTTGGGATTTAATCACTGTAGTTATGAAAGGTAAAGAAATACTTGATTAAACTGATTTTCCACGGAAACAAACAGTTAAATAATGAAGGCATAGTTCACCCAAAACTAAAACTTCTGTCATCACTTATTCATCCTTCAAAACATTTATGAGTTTCTTTCTTCTTTCACAAAAGACAATATTTTGAAGATTGCTGGCACAAATTGAATTCCGTAGTATTTTTTTTTCTACTATGGAAGTCAATGGGTGCCAACATTCTTCAAAGTATCTTTTTTTGTGTGTTCAGCAGAAGAAAGAAGGTTATAAAGGTTTATAACCACATGAGAGTAAATAATTAGGTAATTTTCATTTTTGTGTGGACTATTCCTTTAGTAATATTGTATATGAAAGAAATCATTGTCAACAGGGATTTTTTAAAAATAAGCCTATAGGATTTTGCAGGGGCATTTTTTATTATATATCTGCTAATGACAAATTTCAAAATATTATTTATTTATTATCAGCTTAAATTTTTTGGAGGACAAAACCTGCAAAAACAAATAAATATACAAATAATTGAGTAAATAAATTACAGCATGAATAAAACAACAAATAAATAAATATGTAAACAAAAAAAAATGTATATATAAAATCCACAAATTCCTGCATAAAAGTATATAAATAATTATTAGTGTGGGCAGGTAAATAATTAAATAAATTACACGAATGTTGGGGGAATAAGGAAATGCTAAACTGAAAGTTTATTTCTTCTCTCCTTTCGAATATTTAATCGTTATTGAATGGAGTTGCTATTTTCAACAGGTCACATGCTTACAAGTGGCTGTCTACAATCATCAGAAGTTGGTCTTTATGGCATCATTGGTAGATCCTTGGAAAAATTTTACATTTTATTTATTTATTATTATAATTTTCTTGACTGGCTTCTGATGATTGACTTCCATAGTATTTGCTTTTGCTCCTATGGAAGTCAATGTTTTTTTTTTTTTTAATATCTACCTTTGTGTTTAATAGAAGCAAGAAACTCAAAGCCAGGGAATCAACTGATGGTGAGTAAATAGTGAGCAATTTTTTTGGCGCAAATGTGAGCAAATAGTGAGCAAATGTTTTTGAGCAAAACATTTTTGGGTGAACTAACCCTTTATTGTGTAAACAAATTTCATTCTGGGAAATACATTCACTTAGTTTTCATTCATAACAATTTGATGAGTGATTTAAATACATTTGTAACCATGTAATTAGTAATAAATTGAGGAGAGGTAAAGTTGGTTTTTATATAGGGATTCCTTTATAATATAATTTAATTAAAGTCTTCTTAGCAAATTCTAAATAGTGAAATCACATTAGCAGCCAATGACTGTCAAACATTGTTCACAGCAGAGGTGTCAAACTCAATTCCTGGAGGGCCGAAGCCCTGCACAGTTTAGTTCCAACCCTGCTCCAACACACTTACCTGTAGGTTTCAAACAAGCCTGAAGGACTCAATTAGTTTGATCAGGTGTGTTTGATTAGGGTTGGAACTAAGCTGTGCAGAGCTGCGGCCCTTTTGGAACTGAGTTTGACACCTGTGGTTCACAGTCAACAAAACAGTGCTAAATGTTGTTTTGAAGCCATACTTAAACGTGATTTCAGACCGAATATTCAAAGTACCATGGTAAACAATATAGGGATCTTATCACAAATAGTCACTGAACGAATGTGTGAATATAAAACCAGCTTTACCTCAATATAATCCATGCTGTTTTGCTATTTTGCTATATGTTCGCGTTGTTTTGAGAAATGCACCTACTGTTTTGCACATTTCAATTCTGAGATTGTAAGTTAAATACATATGTAATGATGTAACTAGTAATAAATAGCTTGTTTAACTCACCCAGCAGTGGTCTTGACGCTGTTGTTGGCTATTCTGTCCAGCAGCTTTCCCAGAGGTTCAGTTTTGTCCCTCAGCATGTGTTTATTACTGCCGTTCAGACTGAATGATATGGTCAGTTTGGACTCGGACTCCACACACCGCACTACACATCTCTCCATACTCATCTTAAACCCCGCCGTGAACAGATTTCTGCGGGGTGGGATTAAAGACGGAGGAATAAACCGAAAAAAGAAAGACCTAGTTGAGAATGACAGCCGACTCCACATGAGGAACTCGTGAATGAGAAACTACCAGCGGCTTCCGCGATCGAGAAACGGCTGTGTTATTAGGAACACTAGATTCGACAGTTTTATTACAGTGACGGGTTTAGGATTAAATCACGGTTCTTGATTTTTTCTTTTTAGTTTTATCAGCATTAAATCCATTTGTCAATTATAAATATCTATTCGTAAATTAGTACGACGCGCTTTATCGTCAAGAAGATTTGCAGCGAAAACTTCGATCTCAATATGTAACTGCGATTCAGAGAACTAGATTCGACATATGTAGAAATTATCATTTTCAATAATATTTAAATATAAGGAAATTACTACACATATTCTAATCGTATGTTATAAAACAGAGGTTTTTAAACTGGGGAATTTATATTTATAGATAATCGATAGGAATACTTATATTTATAGATAATTGATAGACAGATAGAATGATAGATATAGACAGACAAGTACGTTGGATGGATAGATAGATAGATAGATAGATAGATAGATAGATAGATAGATAGATAGATAGATAGATAGATAGATAGATAGATAGATAGATAGATAGATAGATAGATAGATAGATAATATAAAAAATTAATACAAAATATTTTAAAAGAAACAAACATCTAGCAATACAGAATATTATTTAAAATTAAAAATGACTAATATTAATAAAAATAATACAAAAATAAAAATATATAATATAGAAATGTAATGTCAAATAAATAAAGTAGCTCAAAAATCTAATTTTATTTTAAATAATTGTAGTATTAAGCATTATTTTAGACAAAATCCATGATCTCAAAGTGACTTTTAATCTCATAGCACTAGATGGCAGTCAATAAATAGTTGGCTCTCTCTGGATAATATTTAAGAAGGTCGCTGGTTCGAACCTCAGCTCAGTTGGTGTTTCTGTGTGGAGTTTGCATGTTCTCCCTGCCTTCGTGTGGGTTTCCTCCTGGTGCTCCGGTTTCCCCCACAGTCCAAAGACATGCGGTACAGGTGAATTGGGTATAGGCTAAACTGTCCATTGTGTATGAGTGTGTGTGTGAATGTGTGTGTAGATGTTTCCCAGAGATGGGTTGCGGCTGGAAGGGCATCCGCTGCGTTAAAACTTGCTGGATAAGTTGGCGGTTCATTCCGCTGTGGCGATTAATAATTAATAAATTAATAAAGGGACTAAGCTGACAAGAAAAAAAAATGAATGAATGAAGGAATGACAGAATGAATAAACAATGGAAGGAAGGAACGAATATAGGAAGATAACTGAATGCACTACAGAAGTCACGTTTACACAGCCCTGCACAAACTGCATAATGCATCAGCTTTTTACAGAGTAATACTCACTACTCACTACTCTTGAGTACTTTTAAAAGGGCGACTTTTTACTCATACTTTAAGTAATATTTACAACAGATACCTTTACTCTACTTGCACTACATTTTTGGGCAAGTAATGGTACTTTTACTTGAGTACAGGCCCGGATTGGCTAATCGGGAGGACCGGGAGAATTCCCGGTGGGCCGGTCCGTTTTTTGGCCACGAGGGCCGGTGTCCCTAGCTCCAGAATCTGCTGCTCTCAGCAATCACACTTTTTAAATTTATTTATTTACTTGACCACAGACTTTTTATTCATTATTATACCGCAACTCTTGTGTGTCATCATCCGTAAAACAGTTGTTGTGGTTGAGCGGATAGCACGTTAGGTTAAGACGCTGTGGACCCGTGTTCGATCCTCGTTAGAGTAATTTAGTGTTTTCAATTTTATTGATAAGACATATAATACTGTTAGGATTGTTGAACATTTGAAGTTCTAAAGCAGCTGTTTTCTCAAAAAAAAAAAAAAAGACGTGATAGTGTCATTAGAAACTGATTTGGAAATATTTATTTATTTACTTATTTTAATATAGTCAGTCGTGAACTGAGGTGGGCCGGTCTGAGACTTGAAACTCCAGAGCTGAAAAGGTGTCCCACTCCGGCCCTGCTTGAGTATGATTTTTCAGTACTTTTTCCACCACTGTTTCCTATACATTATACTATCTTAAACTACTAAAATGTCAGTAAAAATCACTTTGCTAAACTGCAGAGTTGAATTTTCAACATCAATATTGGACAGAGCAGAGGTAAACATCCCACAATGCAATTCACCACCGTAAGTAAACGGAAAACACAAAATACAGAAACTGTTCATCAACAGACAGGATTGACAGTGTGCTCCACATGAAACAATACGAAAGACACATGTGCTGCTGGTTTTATTGAACTCAACCGAGGACAATAATAATAATAATCATCATCAAACATTAATACATCATCATAGCCCATTGCACACCTCTCCATTTTATTCCGCTGAATAAAGTTAAGCTATTAATAGGCTCCCAAATACATTGTGTACATGAAAAAGTAAAACATACTTTCCCTTATTTATTAGCACATTATGATTATTATCAATATACAGTACATGGTACAAAGCAAACCATCGGATTATTCTGTTTCTGGAAAAGTCTCTAGCCACTGGCATGCTGCATGTTCACTACACAACAAACGTCATGTCGCTTCCACTGCTGTTTTTGCTTTAAAGGAGACCTATTACGCCTCATTTACAAGATGTCAAATAAGTCTCTGACGTCCTTAGAGTGTGTATGTCTTAAAATACCACACGAATAATGTTTTAGAACTCTCTGAAGCGGACCCTTTTGGGTTTTGATCCTAATTGTGCTGTTTTGGTGACTGTCGCTTTAAATGCAAATGAGATTGTGCACTTTTTAAAAGAGGGCGGAGCTACAAATGTGTCAGCATAGAGGCAGATTCAGAAACATGACTAACCTCCTATGCTAATGAGGGAGAGATGGTCACTAGTGGGCGGGGCTTCCCTCTCTGATGACACGTACAACAGGAGAATGTCAATCAAAGTGTTTCTGCAGACAGTTTACATCAACTCTGATTATAAAAAATACACTTTTATCATTAGAAGCTGGTTATATTCACACTGTTGCACACAATCACCCCTTATAAAAGGGATTTCTGCATAATAGGTCTCCTTTAATATTTGTTGATTAAAAAAAACAAGTTAAAAAGAAGCCGCTCTTCACCACAGCCATAAAGCATACACAAAAGACTAATAAAAAAAATCATATAATAAATTACAAAAACATACGATCTACACAAAAATACCAGAACACAATAATGATAAAAATACATATTCTCAAAATAACATTTAATAAAACTGACGTCCTCCTGTTTTTTTTTTTTGCAACTCCTCAAGGAAAATTGGTTTAAAGTGGAACATTATTTGCTGGTTAAACACTGCATTTTAAACCATTACTCAGTATTGTTTCATTAGTAATGGTTAGAGTTTTGCTGGTTATCTCCAACTTGTTTTTCATCCGTTTTAATTGATCTGCAAATTAAAACTATAGTACATTTTCATAACGGTTTATTCACAGTTTGAAACTTCAAAGTCAACATGAAATGAACAATGTTTTTTCATTCATTCATTCATTTTCCTTCGGCTTAGTGTCTTTTTATCAGGGGTCGCCACAGCGGAATGAACCGGCAACTATTCCAGCATATGTTTTACACAGCGGATGCCTTTCCAATACTGGGAAACACCCATACACACACATTCACACACACACTCATACACTACGGCCAATTTAATTCATCCAATTTACCTATAGCGCATGTGTTTGGACTGTTGGGGAAACTGGAGCACCCAAAAGAAACCCACGACAACACAGAGAGAACATGCAAACTCCACACAGAAATGCCAACTGGGCGTCGGCAGCAATGGTGTAGTGGTTAGTGCATCAACCCATGCACTCCAGTGCTCGCGGCGACCCGAGTTTGATTCCCGCCTTGAGGTCATATGCCGATCCTACCCCTCTCTCTTCTTCCCACACTTTCCTATCAATACGCTCTAATGTCCTGTCCAATTAAAAGGTGAAAACTCTGAATAAATAATTATATAAAAAAAAGAAAAGAAATGCCAACTGATCCAGCCAGGACTCGAACATGTAGCCTTCTTGCTGTAAAGCCACAGTGCTAATCACTGAGCCACCGTGCTGCACCCTACATTTTTTTTCATGAATGCGGATCCTGTTTCATGCACTCTGGAAGCACTTTTCCAAGATATATTTTTAATTGTGACTTTATATCTCATATTTCTGGCTTACTTTATTAAAATTTGTATTTTTTTTCTTGCAATTGCATTTACAATCAACATCACAATTATAACTTGTTTTTTAAAATGATTATGTTTCTATGCATTTCTGCCTTTCTTAATCGTAAATATTTATAATTTTTAGGTTTATTGTAGATTACGAGTTAATGTTTATCAGATTTGCAGCTTCATTTATTACATTTTTTCATTTATTAATCTGGGGTCGCCACAATGAAATGAACCGCCAACTTATCCAGCACATGTTTCACACAGCGGATGCCCTTCCAGCTGCAACCCATCTCTGGGAAATTTCCACACACTCTCATTCACACTCATACACTGTGGACAATTTAGCCTACCCAATTCACCTCTACTGCATGTCTTTGGACTGTGGGGGAAACCGGAGCACCCGGAGGAAACCCACACGAACGCAGGGAGAACATGCAAACTCCACACAGAAACGCCAACTGACCCAGCCAAGGATCGAACCAGCGGCCTTCTTACTGTGAGGCAACAGCACTACCTACTGCGTCGCCCTAATTTAATACATTGGCAAATTTATTTTTATTGCAATGTTGCAATTCCTTCAACTTACTTTCCAGTTCATTCTGATTGGGTGATGTCAGGCATAGCCAAACTGAATTGTGGGTCCGTCGGTGCCGCTTCAGTGAGAGGGGTCTGGCTGCAGACTGCAAGTGCAATCTGAGCTGCATCCAATGCTTTTTAATGCGCTCACCTAACCCCACCCCTAACCCTACCCGTCACAGTGATGTCACTCACTCCTTTGAGTGAATTGTGTCTGACATTGCATCGCTGAGTGATGCAATCTCAGCTTGCATCATAAAAGCTGCATCCAGATTCTATTGGCTTCAGTGGCATTATTCGCTGCAGAAGTTGAGAATTTCTTAACTTTTCAAGCGCAATGGAAGCGTCAGCCAATCAGACCGCTTTATGCAAATTCCCCAGCTCAGACTGTAGCCTATTGCGGACTTATTCAATTGGCTGACGCTGCTATGATGATTGCGTCAGCCCCAACTTCAGACACGCCCCCTGTCAAGCATTGACATTGAAGCCCTGTGCGAATTGGGCGCTAGTCTCTGATTTATCAGGGGTCACCACAGCTAAATGAACCGACAACTATTCCAGCATATGTTTTACGCAGCGGATGCCCTTCCAGCTCCAACCCAGTACTGGTAAACACCCATACACTCTTTCACACACACACACTGTCACACACTCATACACTACGGCCAATGTCATTCATTCATTTTCTATTCGGCTTAGTCCCTATATTAATCATGGGTGGCCACAGCGGAATGAACCGCCAACTTATCCAGCATATGTTTTACGCAGCCGATGCCTTTCCATCTGCAACCCATCACTGGGAAACATATATACACACTCATTCACACACATACACCACAGACAATTTAGTTAATCAGTTCCCCTTTAGCACATGTGTTTTGGACTGTTGGGGAAACCGGAGCACCCGGAGGAAACCCACGCCAACACAGGGAGAACATGCAAACTCCCACTGAAATGCCAACTGACCGAGTCAAGACTTGAACCAGCGACCTTCCTGCTGTGAGGCGACAGTGCTAGTCAAAATTAAGCTGTTTTTATGATGGAAATAAGCTTCCATAACACACAAACACATCCAACTCAAACAGTTAGCAAACACATTTCATGTAGACTCTGAAGAAGTCTCAGTAGTACAGTCAAAACTGCTCCTCAACAGTCAACAGAAGCAAAGACAGACGACGCAAATGCGAGATATATTGAATATTGTGCTATTTCCACACTGAAAAACAAAATGATTCATTGGATTTACTACATTTTTAATGGAAGCATCTCTAATCACTGATTTCTTCTATCTTTGCCATGATGACAGCACTTAATATTAGACTAGATAATAGACAAGATACTAGTAATCAGCTTAAAGTGACATTTAAAGGCTTAACTGGGTTAATTAGGCAAGTTAGGGTGATTAGGAAAGTCATTGTATAACTGTGGTTTGTTCTGTAGACCAGTGATTCCCAAAGTGGGGTCGCAGGACAATGAGGGGGGTCGCTTGGTGATTTCCAAATTTCATCTTAATTAGAATTACCATATTTTATCCATAACCTACGGATTTTTTTAATGCAATAGTTACATTAAAAACATGCAAATAAAAAGCCACCAGCCTTTACATTTGTATTTATTTGTTTGCGACCCCTGAGGTTATATTAAAGACACAGCAATACACACATTGATTTTATGGCACCCGGTTAAACTTTCTGACACCTTTACGGCCCTCACATTCATTAAAAATAAATACAGGCCATAACTAAACATGGAGGAAGATCTCCATGTGGCGTTCTCCAAAATTAAACGATGAATAGACTTGGACCTATTGATATGTGTGTGCTGTTGTGTGCAAGGTTTATATATTTATAACCACCTCGGATTTTTTGGGGGTAGTGGGCTGAGAAGTTTATTAAATCCTGCTGTAGACAATCGAAAAAACCAACCCAAGCTCATTCTGGAAACGTAGCCCCGCGGACGTTTCTAGAGACCGCGATTTACGTTGCCGGAGGTACATAAGGCCGCGTTTGGTTTTTTTCGAGCGAACGCTGCGGGGCAGTGTGGCGCCGCTCCGCCCCTCCTCTTCGCGCTCGCCTCCAAGTGGAGGGCTTTCCCGACCCGATCAGTTTGTCCGCCTAGCTCACAGCGTTGCGTCGGCGGAGCGGAGGCCCCGGAGGAGGAGGAGCTGGAGCCGGCCGCGGTGGACGACAACCGGGATCGAGTCCGGGAAACAGCGGGTTCCGGAAATCAGGTAAGACGAAAAACGGAATCCGGAAAATAAGGGCAAGAACGCGGCGGGATCCGAAAACTCGGTCGAAATCGAAGACGAGGGCTTTTGCTTTTTTTTTTTTTTTCCGATCCGGCGGCTTTTCGCGCGAGAACGGCGCCCGAGACGCGAAAAAGCGCGCACAGCGGCCTCTCGCGGATCCACGAAAACAAAAAAACGCTCGAATACGTACCTCCCGGGACGTAAATCGCGGTCCGCAGAAACGTCCGCGGGGCTACGTTTCCACAATGAGCCCGGGTTGGAAAAAACAAATATTGCTTAAGTGGGATAGAAATATTGATGGCCTAAAAAAATGAAAAACTGCTTTTATTCTAGCCGAAATAAAACAAATAAGACTTTCTTCAGAAGAAAAAATATTATAGGAAATACTGTGAAAAATTCCTGAATCTGTTAAACATCGTTTGGGAAATATTTGAATACGAATAAAAAATATTAACAATTTAACCTTTTAAAAAAATGTAGTAAATCCAATGCATCATTACTTTCAGTTGCGATTGCATTCCCACAATCCTCCAGAAAACCTCTCGCCAAACCCGACGCTGAAAACATTTAAATTCCTAGATTTTCGTTTTTGGTGAGAAAAATCTCCAAATCCTCGGATGTCCCGAAGGAGCCGGATTCGGACTTGCACTGTCCCACCACAATGACATCACTGGCGTGGTGCAGTCAGTCCCAGGCGGCGGTGCGGACAGGAGTCAGTCTGGATCATTGAGTCCAGCGCGGCGCCCCCTAGAGGTTGTTCTTCTCTGTGCACTCGGCTTCTGTGCTGCGTGGGAAATAAACCGTGGTCTTGTGCTCTTCATAGCGGTCGATGTGCTTCAGATGCACTACCATGTGCAGGGCGTAGGCCAGAACCAGCAGCAGGATCAGAGACGTGATCAGACCCATCAGGATGGCTGGAGTGAAGAAAGTGGCGCAGTCGCTTGCTGGAGCGAACTTACTAGACTGAACATTGAAGGCCTGGATCTGAGAGGGGAAACAGAGTCAGAATTATGCAGTTTACAGATTATATTGTTAATAGTATCTATCATCTATCTATCTATCAATCTATCAGTCTATCAATCTATCAGTCTATCTATCTATCTATCTATCTATCTATCTATCTATCTATCTATCTATCTATCTATCTATCTATCTATCTATCTATCTATCTATCTATCAATCTATCAGTCTATCAATCTATCAGTCTATCAATCAATCAATCAATCAATCTATCTATCTATCTATCTATCTATCTATCTATCTATCTATCTATCTATCTATCTATCTATCTATCTATCTATCTATCTATCTATCTATCTATCATCTATCTATCAATCTATCAGTCTATCAATCTATCAGTCTATCAATCAATCTATCTATCAATCAATCAATCAATCAATCAATCAATCAATCAATCAATCAATCTATCTATCTATCTATCTATCTATCTATCTATCTATCTATCAATCTATCAGTCTATCAATCTATCAGTCTATCAATCAATCTATCTATCAATCTATCAGTCTATCAATCTATCAGTCTATCAATCAATCAATCTATCTATCAATCTATCAGTCTATCAATCTATCAGTCTATCAATCTATCAGTCTATCAATCAATCAATCTATCTATCAATCTATCAGTCTATCAATCTATCAGTCTATCAATCTATCAGTCTATCAATCTATCTATCTATCTATCTATCTATCTATCTATCTATCTATCTATCTATCTATCTATCTATCTATCTATCTATCTATCTACCTGTCTGTCTGTCTGTCTGTCTGTCTATCTATTTATCTAATGAATCTTTTAATCTATCCATCAATTCATCCATCCATTTATCATCCATTATTCTTCAGTCATTCAATCCTCTATTATTCCATCCATCAATCTATCATCTATAATTCCCTCTATCCAGCCATCTATCATTCATCTATCATTCCCTCCATCTATTATTCCATCCATCCAGCAATCTATGATCTATCGTTTCATTCATCTATCAGTCTATCATGAAAAATTCCATCCATCATCCATCCAGCCATCCATCATTCATCTATCATTCCATTCATCATCCATCTATCCATTCATTCATCTATCCATCCATCCATCAATCTATGATCTATCATTCCATCCATCCATCCATCCATCAGTCTATCATCTAAAATTCCATCCATCATCCATCCAGCCATCCATCCAGCCATCCATCATTCATCTATCATTCCATTCATCATCCATCTATCCATTCATCCATCCATCCATCAATCTATGATCTATCATTCCATCCATCCATCCATCAGTCTATCATCTAAAATTCCATCCATCATCCATCCAGCCATCCATCATTTATCTATCATTCCATTCATCATCCATCTATCCATTCGTTCATCCATCCATCCATCCCTCCATCCATCAATCAATCCTCTATTATTCCATTCATCAATTCAATCTATCATCTATAATTCAATCCATCCATCAATCCATCATTTATCTATCATTCTCTTCATCCATTATTCCATCCATTCATCCGTCCATCCATCTATCAATCTATCATCTATAATTCCATCCCTCTATCATTCATCTATCATTCTCTTCATCTATTATTCCATCCATCCATTAATCTATGATCTAAAATTCCATCCAGCCATCCATCATTCATCTATCATTCAATCAATCTATCCATCCATCATTCATATACCTTTCCATCCATCCATCCATCCATCCATCCATCCATCCATCCACCCATTTACCATTCATCAATATAACATGTCATATAATCCATTCATTCATTAATCTATCACCATTCATTCTGTTCACCCATCCATTTACTCTTAATCTGTCATTAATCCATCCATCCATTCATCTATTCATCCATCCTCCCTCATTCTGATCTTGCAGGCAAAGCTCAAAATTTCCCAGTAAACAGCATTCAATTTCACCCAAACTCTGCATGTTCTTCCACACAGTCATTTCATACAGACTAATGCCAAACCACAAGCTTGTGTAACCACATTACACCCACATTACAGCCACTAAAAATACAGCGCACGATGCTACGACTCTCAATATCAGCGGAGGACAGAAGGAAAGTGTTATCTGCCAACCTGGAAGTCTGTGAACGTGATGTGCCAGTTTGCTGCGTGGTCAGTGTTGGCACTGGGCACCAGCAGCGTGTCGTATTTCTGCAGGCTGCTGACGTGCTGGCAGTGGTATGAGTTGGTGGATGGCGCGTACACATCTGTGGCATTAAACGTGGCCTCGTACGTCCAGTTGTAATGGATGTGCACGTTATCGAGCGTGAACCAGTTCTGTCCTGCCGACTCATAAAACGTGTTTGACATCTGTAGCCTGGAGGTAAAAACACAGATATGGGACGGTTATGTGGGTTTATCTGTCAGAAAAGCCATTAGAAATTAGTTCTGCTTAGTTGACTTAGTTTAATAACATGCAATATCAGTATACAAAATGTACGATTCAGATTAGAGGAACTACATTTAAAGAAATTGTATTAAATATATCGACAAAGATTGCACACTATATTTATTGTTATGTCATATTTTATGCCCATTTAATTGACAGTCATTTTGTAAAATGCTAACCTGGCAGGGTTATACAGGCTAGACCCATGCTATCAACATTCAAATTCGTGTTAGCCATATGTTAACTAGTCTAATGTTAATTCATCTGAAAAATATGCTAACCATGCGAGAATGCCCTGCTGAAAAATCCAGCTTAAACCAGCCTAGGCTGGTTGGCTGGTTTTAGCTGGTTAACCAGGCTGGTTTTAGAGGGGTTTTGGCCATTTCCAGGCTGGTTTCCAGCTATTTCCAGCCTGGTCTTAGCTGGTCAGGCTGGGAGATGACCAGCTAAAATCAGCTTGACCAGCCTAGCCAGGCTGAGAGCCCAGCCAAAACCAGCTATGTCCAGCTTAAACCAGGCTGGTCAAGCTGGTTTTAGCTGGATTAAGCTGGTCATTTTTCAGCCTGACCAGCTAAGACCAGGCTGTAAATGGCTGAAAACCAGCCTGGAAATGGCCAACACCCCTCTAAAACCAGGCTGGTCAACCAACTAAAACCAGCCAACAGCCTAGGCTGGTTTAAGCTGGATTTTTCAGCAGGGTCATGTTGGTCTTATGTTATAACACGTTAATAATATGCTAAAGATGGTACAAATGGTGGCTAGCAAAAGGGTGAAACAGGCTACACCCATGCTTGCAACATTGTATTTTGTGTTAGCAATGTGTGAAGCATACTAGACATGTTAGATAATTCTTATAATGTGCTAACAATGATGTTAACACGTTAAAACATGTGCTAACAACAACCAGATGGTAGAAATAGGCTAACAGCATGCTAACTTAGGCTAATAAAATGCTAAACAGGCTATACCTGTGCTAGCAACATTGTAATTTGTGTTAACCATGTGTCAACAATACTAGACATGCTAAATAATTCTAATAATGTACTAACAATGCTATTAACATGTTAAAACATGTGTCAACAACATACAGATAATAGAAATAGGCTAAAGGCATGCTAATTTAGGCTAAAAAATAGCTAAACAGACTAGACCTATCCTAGCAACATTGCAGTTCGTGTTAGCCACGTGTCAACAATATTAGACATGCTAAATAATCCAAATGTGCTAACAATGCTATAACCTGTTAAAACATGATGGTAGAAATAGGATAACAGCATGCTAATTTAGGCTAAAAAAAAGCTAAACAGGCTATACCCGTGCTAGCAACATTGTCATTTGTGTTCACCATGTGTCAATACTAGACATGCAAACTAATCATAATAATGTGCTAACAATGCAAGTAACATGTTAAAACATGTTCCATACAGATGGTACAAATAGGCTAGCAGCATGTTAATTTAAGCTAACAAAAAGCTAAACAGGTGAGACCCATGCTAGCAACATTGTAAATTGTGTTACCCATGTGTAAGCAATACTATAGATGCTAATTAATCCTAATAATGTGCTAACAATGCTAGTAACCTGTTAAAAAGTGCTAACAGCTTACAGATGGTAGAAATAGGCTGACAGCATGCTAATTTAAGCATGTGTCAACAATACTAGACATGCTAATTAATCATAACAATGTGCTAACAATGCTAGTAACATGTTAAAACATGTAGGCCATAAGCCAAAACCTGTGTTAACAACATGATACAGATGGTAAAAACAGGATAACATCATGTTAATTTAGGCTAATAAAAAGCTAAACAGGCTAGACCCATGCTAAAAACATTGTAATTCATGTAAGCCATGTATCAACAATATTACACATGCTAATTAAACCTAGCAATGTGCTAACAATCATAGCACATGCTAAAACATGTTACAGATGGTAGGGATAGGCTAACAGCATGCTAATTTAGACTAGCAAAAAGCTAAACATGCTTGCAACATTCCAAGTCATGCTAGCTATGCTACAAATAGTAATAGCCTGGTAAAACCACCATAAAAATATATAAAGTCACAGTTGTTTGTAACAGCATCAGTATAGGCTAATACTCAGAAATAATAATAATATTAATAATAATAATAAGAAGAAGATATAACCTGATGGAGAGTCCTCGAAGATCTTCCACATCACCGAAGCGGAGATTGAGTCTGGCCAATAACAAAATACATAAAAATTTATAACTTTTTTATTTTAAACTTTTTAATCCAAACTGGGGTATTTTGCAATATTTTAGGTGACTATTAAACTGCTTAAAAAAATTTAAAATAAAAATAAAAATGAAACTGTGGCCAATACTAAATATTAAAAAGATAGTTTTAAACATAATTTTTAAAAAAGTTTTATATATATATATATATATATATATATATATATATATATATATATATATATATATATATATATATATATATATATATAGACACACACACACTGGCCACTTTATTAGGTACACCTTACTAGTACCGGGTTGGACTCCCTTTTGCCTTCAGAACTGCTTAAATCCTTCGTGCCTTAGATTCAACAAGCTACTGGAATATTCCTCAGAGATTTTGCTCCATATTGACATGATAGCATCACGCAGTTGCTGCAGATTTGTTGGCTGCACATCCATGAAGCCAATCTCCCATTCCACCACATCCCAAAGGTGCTCTATTGGATTGAGCATGTTTAAATTTGGAGTGCTTATTTGAGTTACTGTTGCCTTTCTGTCAGCTGGAACCAGTCTGGCCATTCTCCTCTGACCTCTGGCATCAACAAGGCATTTGCGCCCACAGAACTGCCGCTCACTGGATATTTTCTCTTTTCCTGACCATTCTCTGTAAACCCTAGAGATGGTTGTGCGTGGGTATCCCATCAGCAGTTTCTGAAATACTCAGAGCAGCCCGTCTGGCACCAACAACCATGCACCAACAACCATGATCGTCTTGACCATGTCTACATGCCTAAATGCATTGAGTTGCTGCCATGTGATTGGCTGATTAGAAATTTGTGTAAAGTTGGACAGGTGTACCTAATAAAGTGGCCGGTGAGTGTATATGAGGTATATAGATAATCATTAGATCTAATCAGAATGTTAAAGATATTTCTGCACTCAAGTGTTGGTTGAGTCATAGGCTTTCAAGCTTAAGGGGGCTAATAATAATGACCGTAAAATGTTTTTTTAAAAATTAAAAGCTGCTTTTATTCTAGCTGAAATAAAACAAATAAGACTTTCTCCAGAAGAAAAAAAAATATATAGGAAATACTGTGAAAATTTCCTGAATCTGTTCAACATTATTTGGAAATATTTGACAAAGAATAAAAAAAAATTAACAGCAAATCTAATAATTCAACTTATAATAATAATAATAATAATAATAATAATAATAATAATAATAATATCCTTCAATATCCAGCTCTGTTAGTGTATAGTATATAACAGCAGTAGTAATTGTGACATTATTTAGAGTCAAATATAGTGTAGATGACTGACGGTTTTCAGTGTGACTTACATGGCTTTATCTTTACTGCAGAAGGATCCTTTGGTGTCGAGCGGTGCGTCTGGGCTGAAGGTTTTCTCTGTGAGATCCACCAGACTGTGGTTTCTGTACCTGATGGCCAGCTTCCTGGCCCTGAAGAGGATGCAGGTCTTGCCGTTGTACGTCACACTAAGAGGAGAATAAAGCAACAATCCTGGAGACTGAAGCAGCTTTCTGCGAGGAGGAACGTCTAGCTGCCATCCGTACGGCTGAAACAAACACACGGTAACATAAGTGACACACACTACCATTCAAGTGAGCATTAATTAACCGCCAACTTATCCAGCAAACGTTCTACACAGTGGATGTCCTTCCAGCTGCAACCCAGTACTGGGAAACACCCATACACACTCATTCACACACAAACACTACGGCCAATTTAGTTACTCAATTCCCCTATAGCGCATGTGTTTGGACTTGTGGGGGAAACCGGAGCACCCAGAGGAAACCCACAACAACACGGGGAGAACATGCAGAGTCCACACAGAAACGCCAACTGACCCAGCCGGAGCTCAAACCAGAGAAAGGAAAATTTGAGTGATTTCGGGACACAGACTCCTGATTGAAAATGTAGCATGTGTGTGTAATCTGTTTTTTCCAAAGATAATGCATCTGTGCAGGATTAAACTGCTGTGGAGTTTGGAGGTGAATCTGCAAGGTCAGTCTGGAGCCGCTGGCAGACGCACAAAACTCACCTGCAGAGCCCGACGGAGTGGAGCTTCAGCTGCGGACAGAGAACTAGAGCTGCCCGATCCTCCTGCACACACACACACACATATACAGTTGAAGTCAAATTTATTAGCCCTCTTGTAATTTTCTCCTTTTTTTACCTTTTTTTTAAAAATATTTCTCAAATGATGTTGAACAGATTGAGGATTTTTTTCACAGTATTTCCGATAATATTTTTTCTTCTGGAGAAAGTCTTATTTGTTTTATTTCGGCTAGAATAAATGCAGTTATTAATTTTTTCAAAATCATTTTAAGGTCGATATTATTAGCCCCCTTAAGCAACATTTGTTTTGGGTTGTCTCCAGAGAAAAATCACTGTTATACAATGACTTGCCTAATTACCCTAACCTGCCTAATTACCCTAGTTAAGCCTTTAAATGTTACTTTAAGCTGTATAGAAGTGTCTTGAAGAACATCTAGTAAAATATTATTTTCCGTCATCATGGCAAAGATAAAATAAATCAGTTATTAGAATTATTAAAACTATTCAGCTTAGAAATGTGTTGATAAAAATCTGCGCTCCATTAAACAGAAATTGAGGAAGACATATTCAGGAGGGCTCAACTGTACACACATTTTTTCTTCACATTTAAAGCACATTAAATTAATTTAAATTTAATTTACATTGAATTAAAAATCAAACTGTTCATTTACGTAAAGCATTTTCGTTTCATAGCTAACTATATTCATATTTAATCTAACAAGTAAGCTATTTATAGAGCAATTTAGATAGATCAGGGTTGCATGTAAGCCTGAAAAACATGAAAAATAATCTTTTAAAAAGCTAAAGTGTATACTAAAGTGTTTGCATATGTTTTATCTAAGTGTTACATTTGATGCATTTGGCTGTTTTTTAATCATATAACATGATGCAGTGATAATATAGAGAGCAAATCTATCTCAATATAGGGTATATGCCGAGCTAGTGTTTTTACCATACTGATAACTTTCGGTGAGCTGTTATTGTGAACTTTTTTCCATTTTTTACGGTTCCTTTTACAGCAATGATGTTGTAATGTCATTAAAATACATTCAGTTAAATAAACTTAGGCATTCATTTAGTTGCTCAAGCGTAACATGAGACGAAAAGCCGTTTACTCGCACGCGCCCGTCAGAATCGGCAGGCTAGCTCAGAAGCTCCATTGAATATTCTGGGGTAAAATAAATGCTCATATTATAAAGATATGGCGGGGGAGATGTAATTTAATGCAGTGCTTCGTGTACAATCTGAGACCCACTTTATATCGGGTATCACTCATCTAGTGGAGATCGCTCATTTTTAAAGAAAACAGACCCTAAACACGCCGGTTTTTGCATTGCATACAGTTCCCCGGAAGCGCTTAACCCAGGTTACTGACAAATTAAACCTCCCATTAGCATGCTTCGGCATATACCCTATTATTCAGAGCAAAATATGCAATTGGTTCAACGTAAAAGCCAATCAATGAGAAGTTTGTTACAAACTACTTAATATTCAATCATTCATTTTCGTTCGTCTCTATTTCAGAGGTCACCACAGCGGAATGAACCGCCAACTATTCCAGCATATGTTTTACACAGCGGATGCCCTTCCGGCCGCAACCCAGTACTGGGAAACACCCATACACTCTAACATGCATACACATACACTACGGTCAATTTAGTTTACCCAATTCCCCCATAGCGCATGTGTTTGGACTGTGGGGAAAACCTGAGCATCCTGAGCAAACCCACGCTGACACTGGGAGAACAAATAAGAATTGACAATCCACTGGTGGTGGATGAGGAGTTTCCCTCCATTGTGTAAAGCGCTTTGAGTGCCTAGAAAAGGGCCATATAAATGTAAGGAATCATTATTATTATTAAATAAGAACGTCAAAGTAATGTTAAAATAAGATTTCGAAATTTGCATATCAAATATGAAACACACAGAAATGCCAACTGGTCAAGTTGGGACTTGAACCAGCGACCTTCTTGCTGTGAGGTGACAGTGCTGACCACTGAACCACAGTGCTGCTTCACTACTTAACATAAAATACATATTAAATGTCGGTTATCTCACTGTAATGTCAAGATAAGAGTTAGAAATTTGCATATCAAATATGAAACACTAAGCTTTAATGCTTAAGCGATTCAAGGAGCCACTTAAGAAAGATTAAACCCTGATATTTATCAAAAACAACTCACCATCTTGAATGCTGATGTCTCTCGACGGTGCATCATCTGAGCTGTAAGAAGAAATAAAAGTGTGTTTTATTAATCATAAACATTTATCTGAAACCTGCTCACCACAGCGTGTTTACGCAGTGGATGTTTACGCAGCAGATGCCCTTCCATTCACAACCCAGTATTGGGAAACACCCATACACACATTTACACACACTCATACACTACGACCAATTTAGTTCATCCAGTTCCCCTATAGCACATGTGTTTGGACTGTGGGGGAAACCGGAGCAAACCTACGCTAAGAACATGATGCAGACTCCACACAGAAATGCCAACTGGCCCAGCCGGGACCTTCTTGCTCTGAGGCGACAACCACTGAGCCACCGTGCCACCTAAACTGTTTTTCATTCATTTATTTTCCCTCGGCTTAGTCCCTTTATTCAACATGGGTCACCACAGCGGAATGAACCACCAACTTTTCACCGGCAGGGACCACGCCACACTTTGAGCTGGACTTTATTGTAGGGATGAAGGGGATGGTGGGAGAACAGTGGGATGAAATGGAAGGGAAGTAAGAGGATAAACAGTCAACAGATAGGTAGGTTGATTGGGCATCCTATGATGATGCCTAGAGACTCCGAGTGGGGGTACCGTTTCTGTCAAATTTGGGTAGAGTGATTGGACCCCCCACAAGTCCAAAAACATGTGGTAAAGGTGAATTGGGTAAGCTAAATTGTCCGTAGTGTATGAGTGTGTGTGTGGATGTTTCCCATAGATGGGTTGCGGCTGGAAGGGCATCCGCTGCTGGATAAGTTGGCGGTTCATTCCGCTGTGGCGACCCCTGATTAATAAAGGGACTAAGCCAACAAGAAAATGAATGAATCCTGGCATTTTTAATGATCACAGAGAGTCAGGACCTCGGTCAATAGACGGCGCTCACTGAGCAGTATAGTGTCCTCTTCACTGTACCGGGGCATTAGGACCCACAGAGACCACAGGTTGAGCAACCCCTACTGGCCTCACTAACACCACTTCCAACACCAACCTAGCTTTCCCATGTGGTCTACCATCCAGGCAGCCCTGCTCAGCTTCAGTGGGCGACCATAGTCAATTTGCCCAGATCATATTGTTGAGTTTTTGAAAACTTTCAAAGCATCTTTGTAACGCAAGAGCGTATTGGGTTGTTTCTGTGCCGCTGTGTGTATGTGTCTCTCTCTTTTTCTCTCTATCGTCCTGTCCCATTACTGTTGGTTGCCCCGCCCTAATTGGACGTGCTGCGTGTGTGCACTGTGGTTGGTGCTGGGAGAAGTCAGCATCTTTTGAAAAGGAACTGACGGAGTCAGATCGCTGGGGGGAGAGACGGAGAGCTTTTCTAAGAGTGTGGCGTTCGTGTGGAAAACATATCATAGTGCTTTTTTTTCTGGTTGTTTATAAATTGTGAACATTGAGATGTTGTCTCCCTTTTTCCTCTCCCCTCCATTTTTTTGTGACTGTCAAATACCCTGTTTGATAAAGCTGTGAGCTGAGCGCCGTAGGGGCTGAATGCCATTTACTTTGACACTGATTTTCTCCTGTTTTTCGTTTAGTTAAGGAGTAAGGGTAGTGTTTGTAAATTATTTTCTTCATTTATTTTTGATTCAGTAGGTAAGTTATCTTCGGGGTGGAGTTAGTAAATGTTTCGTTTATTATTTTTGCCTTGCTCAGCCCTGAAGCTTTTTGTTTGTGCTCATTTATTTGTTTATTGTAAATACAAACCTTTTCCACCTTCTCACAATAAAAGAACCTTAAAGGTCATTTAAAATCAAACCTGCTAACTGTTTATTTATTTTCTTTTTAATTTTTATGTTCGACTTCAGCCCTAGACATTTTGGGGTCGTAACAATCTTCCCAATAAATGAGTCAAAATAAGATTTCCCGCCCAAAACTATTCCATTTGCTGAAACAGAGAAAGTTGTGGCCAAATTAAGACTCCAACTCACCCCAGAGTGGATGAAATGTACCGGAAGGGTCGTTTGTGAAAGCATATGTTGGGTGAGCTGCGTTCACAGTGTGTTCTTCAGACTTCTGGAACAGTAAGACGGATTATTGAAAGAGGGGCAGTTTAAAGGTGTAATCGGTGAGTAATGCTGCTGGAATGGGCTTAACCTGGATCTCAGAGCTGATTATGGGTCAGTCTGAGTCTGAGGACGGTGCTCAGAGATCAAATGTCTGCGGTTACTGCGGAGGAAAGATGAAGCAGACTGACTCAGATATAGATATATATTACACTAATTTATCAGTGTGTTCTACAGTAAGAGAAGCAGCTCTGTTTCTGTTCATTCATCTATCCATCTATCTATTAATTTATTATCCATTAATTCATCTATCCATCCAGCCATTGTCCATCATCTATCAACCATCTATCTGTCCATCATCCATCCATTTTTCTGGAATCCATCCATCCATTCATTTGACTACTATCCATCCATCCCTTTGTTTGTCTGCCTATCCGTCCATTGATCCATCCCCCCATCGGTCTATCTTCCATTCATTCATCCGTCCATTATCTATAATCCATGTCTATCATTCATCCATCATCATTCATCCTTTATATCCATTCATTCATCAGTCCATAATCTCTAATCATCCATTCATTAATTCTTTCTATGCATCCATTCATTCGTCCTTCCATTTGTCATCCATCCATCCATTTACCAAACCATTCGTCTATCCATCCATACAACTATTCATCAATCCGTTCATCATCCATCACCCATTCATTCGTCTATTATCCATCCATCTGTGATACATCTAGTCATCTATTACAAATCTTTCCATCTATCATCCATCCATCTATCTTTCATCCATCTATGGTACATCCATCAATCTATCAATCTATCTATCTATCTATCTATCTATCTATCTATCTATCTATCTATCTATCTATCTATCTATCTATCTATCTATCTATCTATCTATCTATCTATCTATCTATCTACCGATCATCCATCACTGATTTATCCATCTATTCATCTATCATCCATTCATCCATCCATCAATGATCCATCCATTTTTCCATCTGTCATTCATCCATCTTTCTATCATCCATCCATCCATCCATCCATCCATCCATCCATCCATCCATCCATCCATCCAATCATCTATCATGGATTTATCCTTTCATCCATCCATCCATCCATCAATCCATCCATCCATTCATCCATCCATCCATCCATCCTTCCATTCATCTATTTATCTATCTGTCTGTCCGTCCGTCCATCCGTCCCTCCGTCCATCACTGATTTATCCATCTTTTCATCTATCATCCATCCAATTATTCGTCTATCATCCATTCATCAGTCTATCACTCATCCATGATCTGATCATCAATTACTAAACCATCCATCATCCATTCATATATTCAACTATCATCCGCCCATCCATCTATCACCCATCCATCATCCATCCGTCTATCATTCATCCACTTATGATCATCCATCCATCTATACCTCTGTCATTCATCCATTTATTCAACTACTATTCATCCATCATTAGTCCGTTTATCTATCCATCCACACATCCAGTCATCTATCACTGATAAATCCATCCATTCATCCATCCATCCATACATATATCTATTACGCTATCATCCATCCATCCACATAACCATTTATGATTCGTCCATAAATTCATCCACACATCCAGTCATCTATCACTGATAAATCCATCCATTCATCAGTCCCTCCCTTCATCCATCCGTCCATCTATCTATCCATCCATCCACCTATAACCATCCATATTCATCCATATATCCAGGCATCTATTACTGATCCATCCATACATTCATTCATCCCTCCATCCATCCATCCATTCATCCATCCACCCATCCATCCATGCATCATCCATCCATCAAATCACCACCATGCAGCATGTAACAAACACTATCCATCTTCAAAATGCTTTTAACCTCCATGTTTCAATAACAAAAGCATGTAGTGTAGTGTCCGTGTGCACCCTCAGGCCAATATAAAATCATTTATCAGCTCAGGTCTCCCTCAGTGTGACCTGCACTGCTGTCCTTGTGCATGAAGGGGAGGTGTTGTTTATTCACCTGCGCTGTAAACAACATCAGACCCGCAGCGCTCCTTTATACTTCCCTGACAAATGGCATCACTGAAAAACATTATTCACTGGATTTACTTAAATTATTTAAGGTAAGTGGTTGCAAGTAATGTATATGGGCTAAATTAAAACAAACTAATTAAATGTAGTAATGTTCAGCTTAATTTGCTTGTTTAAATTCAGCTCATATAAATTGTTTGCAACCACTTATCTTAAAGAAATGTAGTAAATGCAATGAATCATTTGTTTAGTGCATCAGTAATTCTGTCTCTTGGATTCCTGTGATGAACAGAAGCCCACGAGGGACATGTGGGAGGTTTTAGCATTCTGTTATTGTTGGATGATATTGTTACATAACTATATTTAGCAAAACAGTGAGTCTGCGTTGACTTAACTTGACCCGCACAGACCGGTGAGGAGCAGCCTGAAGGAAAGCACACAAAAAACCCTTGACTTCTGTCTGAGTTGGCAGTGGTTTATCTGTACCGCCATACGGTAAATATATACAGTTGAAGTCAGAATTATTAGCCCCCTTTGAATTTTTTTCTTTATTAAATATTTCCCAAATGACGGTTAACAGGTCAAGGAAATTTTCACAGTATGTCTGATAATATTCTTTCTACTGGAGAAAGTCTTATTTGTTTTATTTCAGCCAGAATAAAAGCAGGTATTAATTTTTAAAACACCATTTTAAGATCAATATTATTAGCCCCTTTAAGCTAATTTTTTTTTCAATAGTCTACAGAACAAACAATCGTTAGGGTTATATACAATAACTTGCCTAATTCCCCTAACCTGCCTAGTTAACCTAATTAACCTAGTAAAGCATTTAAATGTCACTTAAAGCTGTATAGAAGTGTCTTGAAAAAGATATAGTAAAATATTATTTACTGTCATCATGAAAAAGATAAAATAAATCAGTTATTAGAAATGAGTTATTAAAACTATTATGAATAGA